TTCAAACTTAAGTTTCAATTCTCAATTAATTAACAGACTAATATTATTAAAGTTGATTAAAAATATATATTTATTTATAAATATTTTTATTTATAGAATAACCTCCAAAAATAGGTTTTTTTAATAGCCAAGCTTTGGTCTTAGTAAAATTATTTAAATACATTGATATTAACATATTAAAATAAATACTTGAATTTACTTATAATTTATCGATATAAAAATTAATTATAAGCTATTGCGTTAATATATTTTAGCTCTTCATATATAAAACTAATATTATCAAATAAATTAATGGGAGTGTGTCATAACAAAAAACAAGAACAAATGAAAACTACAACTATCCTCAATAAAAGTCAACCCAGAGCTAAGATTCCATAGACAACTGAATAAATACTAGAATTTGCTATAACAGAGCCCTTTGAAGATAGTAATCTCATATACATTTCTCCATAATTCAAACATAAAACCTAATCATCAAAGCAACCAAGTCCTACTTACTCATTGAACCTCTCAAATTATAAATATCGTTTTTCTTCAAAATATGTTCACTAAGAATTCAAATTGAATGAGAGTATCATAGTTATTTTATTAGTTAGAATAGCTTATCATTCATAGAGAGAGTGGGTTACCATATTACCTTGAAATTTTAGAGTCTAATTCTTAGAACAGAGGATTGATTAGAAAATTGTTTAATCCTACTAGTCCAAACAACCAATAGGACCCATCAAATCTCTTCAATATTGTTGAGATATGCTTATAAGATAGATTAATTTTGGTTGTAAGACAATATAAAGAGGCTCAAAGCCTTGAATCACAATTATAAATTGTCAAATCAAATGTAAAAACTTTATCAATTCTTGTCAATCAGATAATTAAAATCATAACAATACTACATTCATTAGATATAATACATTTTAATTTGAGTATCAAATCATTCTAGTATTAATAAGTATCAGGAAAAATATATCTAAACAATTTATCGGATTTATATAATAGTGAAGAAGTTAATTATTAATACATATCTCCAGAGTAATTAAATTATATTCCCTATTTTACAAAAGAATGTAATATATGGTCTTTGGGAATGATCATTTGTTAAATGATGGATTGTCCAAGAGTTCCTATATATAGTGATAATTTGAATAAGTTTAAAAGACAAGTAGAGAAGTGGCAACCAAAATAGTCAATAAAACATATCTAGGATAAAGATCTATAAGAATCTATAATTAAAATGTTATAAAAAGATCCAAGTCAAAGAGTATTATGAATTTCTCTATATATATTATAAAAATAAATTGAATTTTATACATAAATGAAAAAAACCAGACTTGTTTTATAGTGAATGTTATATTATATTGAAAATAGAACAAAAAATTGATAATATTTGTAATGACAACAGAGAATTGTAATTCATTTATTAGATTTGTCTTAAATCTTATAAGAGATGAAGATTATTATATAAAAACACAACCAAAGAAAGAATTAATGAAACCTAAATTGATACTATTTAAAATTGAAGAAATTCCAAAAACCTATACTCCAATATAACCATTTTCTATTAAATAAAAAATAATATAAGTTAAGTAAATAAAAAAGCCAATTATAAATACAATTAAAAAATGAATGTCTTGCTGTTGGAAAAGCTTGTAATATTGATTGTAATTGTCTTGGATGTAATAATTCAAGTTATTCCTAATCTATTAAGAAATTATAGACAGGATGATGTAATTGTAAGAAAACAGGTTGTTAAAAATATATTGCGAATATTATTTAAAAAAATAAAGATGCACATTTTTTTGTAATTGCATAGATTGTTGTTATTAAGAGATTCAGAATTATTGTAATAAAAAAGTATTGATTGTGGATTAACTATTACTAATTAAATAACTTAAAAATGATTGGAATTTTATAAAATAATTTAAGCTCATTTAAATAATTGAATTGGCCTTCTCAACCTATAATACTATGATGGAATATTGTATATGAAATTAGTAATTATGTAGTATACTAAATAATGTGGTTTCATTCTAAACTTTCCCTTCTATCTCAATTCATAATATAATTGATCCCTTACAAAATGTTAATCAGTAATTGAAACCCATTTCAATTTTTAAGAACAAGTAGTCAAATCTCTATTAATTAAATCTAATATAATATTACCTAATAACTTCATTTCCATTCTAATATTTATTAGTTTCTTCTTGATTCATAGAGATAGTTAAATGCATAAGTAATTCATTAGCCATTTTTGTTCTAAAATCTCCTTTAGGGAATGCTACATCTAAATAATTTGGAATGCACACTAACTCAGGTGCATGTTTCTTATATATATATTCCATCATAACTTTAGCAATTTTTTAATTATGAGCTTATCTTTTTTTAAATATAATGCGTCCATCAAACCATTCATTTATTACTAATTTATATATATATATAATATACTTCCAGCTAACATTATATATCTAATAGGTAATATACAAATAACACAGTAAAGTGAAAATAAGGCATAGAGAAACCAAAGAGTTCTATGATATTCTTACCAAGTGAATAAATTAATCACTTTTTCTGCAAAATTACTCAAATAAGTTAAATATAATTAAACAATAAAGAAAGTTTTCTTGATTGCTCTAATTTTTTGATAAAATGATTCTTTTGGTTCATTTTCATCATCAACTTCTAATTTAATTTCATTTCCTTCAAATTTAATTACTTTATCTAATGATTAAGTATTTTTTTTAAGATCTTTTTCTTCTTATGTGAATAATTAAGGAGTCTTATAATATTAATTTAATTCACATAAAATATATTTATCCAAAAATAACCCTACATAATGATGTATTGTGGGATGTTAGTATATTAATATGAATAATAATAAGAATCCAAAATATTATAGAATATTATTTAAATCTGCATTGTAAATGAAAATAAACATAAAAGTAAAAACTATTAAAGTTAATCTTGGATACTTTTAATCTACTACATCTTCTAAAGCAAGTTAAAATTAAATCATTAATGAGATTATTCTCTTAAATCTGATAATGTTCATTTTAATAACAGTAAGATCAGGCTCTAATTATTCATTTTCATATGAAAAAACAGGACCAGGTCCAAAAAGTGACAAAGGACTTGACATATTCCTTATTGTAACAATTAAACATGGTTATTATTCATCTAGATTTGTAGAATTTTTCTTAAGAAATTAAAATACATCATTATTGTTACTATCTTTATTTAATGGTAATGATATTCTCTAATAGAAAATAAGATATAAATTTTTACTGAAAATTTAGTTCCTGAATGATAACTCAATAAATCTGCAATTTATATTTCAGCTACACCTATAATTGATTATTTGACTTTTCTTTTCAAAATACCATCCTATATTTCACTTATCAATTCTAATCTTAATACAGAAAAAGAATCTATTATTGGAAGAATATAATCTTAACTCCATTATGGGTTATTACTATATACATGTTATTTTGTTTAACATGTAAATGGAGGAAATGATATTTTAACAAACAAAAAAGAATCTTAAATTATATTAGATAAATTAATTGCTTCCTTTATTTGAATCTATACTTTTCCTAAAGAATGAAAATCATCATGCATTCCTTCATATTAAATAACATCTTGAGATGCTAATTTCAATTATGTATACCAAATTTTTAATAAATTAGGATCATTTACTGTTAATTAAATTTTTTAATAATCATAATCATGATACATTAACTATTAATATATATTTAAATTTACAATGACATCATCTGCTAATTCAATTTTAATTTGAAATAATATTATTTGACAACTAAAATAATTATAAGATATATGTTAATATAATTGTAATGTGCCTTCTTAAATCTTTCCATAAAATGTTTACCAAGTTTCATCATCTGAAAATCTTAATTATACATTTGTAGCCAATTTCTTTTATTAATCAAAACTATAACTTCCAACTTGACTTGCATCTTCAGTAGATAAATTATGATATCTAAATTGCCAATCTGGTTCATCTTCATTTTAAACATCTGTTGATGCAAGAATAGTTTATTTTTAATTTCCAAGTACTATATTTTTTATGACATTTTTATTTACAATCTCTAGTCAAAAAGTAATATAAGAATTTTAGAATATTACTCTATATTTAAGGATGTTACATTGCTATTAGAACTAATTTATTTAAAAATAGATGAAATCCAGCTTTTCTTTTTTCTGTTTTAAATAGCCATTCATGTTTAGATGGAAATTAAGGTAAATCCAAATTACAATATTTCATTTTCAACTTAACTATAAAAATAATTTATATACCACTTTGTGTAATGCATAAAACTCATTATATCGTCTATTACAAATAAATGGTTGAATATTTGGATGTTTTACTTATATTTTATATAATGTAAAACTAAATCCATATTCATTCTCTGTCCCAATAATATTAATCTAAAGTTATTTTAAATCTAGTTTCAAAAAATCATCAAAAGTTAATTTAAAACCTTCCATTGATGATTTCACACTCATAGGACTGCTTTGAGACATAATTATAAAATAATTTATAATTCAATATTTTAAATATCATTTCCATACAACTCTCTATCCCAAATATTTTAATAATATATAAAATTCATTTTCATTAATTAATTTCTAATATTTGAATATCATTTTTTTATAGATTTTTCAATAATATGTAGATCTTCATTAATATTATTAATATCCTTTAATATAATACTCATAATAAAAAGTATAAAGTAATTTTGAATATTATAAATTTAAGAGTATTGTAAAAACAATTCATCTTATATTAAAGTCAATTATAAATGAGTTTTAACTTGAAGTTAATTCAATTAATTCCTCAAAAATAATAAAATTTCACTCTTTATAAATAAAAATAAGAATCAAAAAATTTCTTATAATTATTACTTCAAAATTAAACTGCATAAGTCTTGACTCCATCAATAAAATTGATTTGTAATATTTTTTTATATTTTATTCATAAAAATATAATGAATAATAGATTTGAGAATTCTTAAGACCATGATTTAGATATGTGTGGCATTTCAAGATCATACTCATAAACAAAATTACCTAATCTTAACAATCATAATAAAGATAAATTAAAAAATGAGTTTGTATAATATATATTAATCATAAGGTGGATAAACAGTTATTGTAAAGAAAGGATTATGAAGATCTTGGAGGTTCTATTTAACTTAATAATTTAAATATTTTGGGATTGAAGGATTACTACTCTGGAGCATGTGATAATAATAATTAAGAAATCTAACTCACAAAAATAGAAGAAACTAATGATTGTATACAAATAGAAACACAATAAAATGAACCATTTAATAATACTCTAGATTAATTAGGTCAAAAATTGAATGAAGTGATAGGACAATATCTCTGTGAACTTACCTCTTAGTCTAGATTATCTTTGGATTCATTTTCCCTTTAGAACAGTGAAAATTTAGATGAAGAACAACAATAACAGATTTTAGATCTTGAATTAAATGTCATTAGATAGCGTATTTATAAGGTAATATTTTTTATTTAAATTAGCAAATCGTTGATAAGATCAACCTATCTGTTATATAATCAGTTTAATCAATAGGAACTTCTAGTTAACTTACATCATAATCAAATTATATTTCTACATGCGTTTCAAAAGAACTTTTAAATAACAGTACTACTTAATTTTCCTAAATTTCATAAAAATCACCCCCTAAATCACTTACTCATTCTCTATTAGATTTATAATCACAACTTTATCAAAGTGCACAATAAGCTTAAGCTAGACCTAATAAAAAAGTTGATGAATTACCTTTTAATAATTTAGATTGTGAAGGTACAAAAGAAGAGTTACAAAATAAACTAAAGATTTCCATATAATTAAATTATTAATAGTCTTAAATAAACAGTCAATTAAGAGAAGAATTATAAAAATATGAAGTATATTAATTTGATTATACCTTTTAGAAAATGAATTAACCAGATTCAATATAAGAGGATGAAATACTTACTTTATAATAAGAGATCCAAAATTTGAGACTGGAAAATGCTAAACTAAAAGAGTCTTAATCAAATAGACTATGCGAAAAATGTAAAGATAGTATATGACTTTTTGAAATAAAATTCAAATCTATAATTGTCATTTATTCAATTTTTCTTATTTTATTAAAGGCAGTATTTTATCCAAAACTTATTAGTATTATTAAATAATATTTCTGATTTTTGTTTCTTCTTTTTATGGTTGTTACAAACTCTTATGTCTCTAATACCCCTAGTTTTAAAACTTAAAATTCTTAATAGGCTTAACATTCAAACTCTTCTCTTAGTTATTTAAATATTTAGGTAAGGTTTTAACTGCTCTGGGACTAGTTTTACTATTAGACTTATCATAAGTAGATGTTCTTAATTATTACACTTAGATTACATTTATTATAATTTAATATGCATTCTAGCATTTTCTTTCTTTCTATTTTCCTTTAATTCAATTGATCTTTTGGAGTTACAAGAACTTACGCTACGAATTGATTATCTTGAATACAGAAATATTTTTAATTAATTTTACAGATTTTTGGAAAGTGGACTCCACATTATTTAATTTATGAAGTAGTTTTTTGTTCTATTTCATAATTCCTTCCCATCTATTAATTTCTTATTTTCTGGCAGCTATATATCTGTTTTGCTTATAAGAATCAAACGTTTTATCTAATTTTGGAAGGGAACTCTTCCTTGATTTAATGTCACTTAGTCTCCTCTAATGAATCAAGTAGGCTCTAAAGAATTATTGATTTCTTATACTACTGATTCTATTGTTAGATGTATCTCTGCATATACTTTCTAACTAATTTATATATATAAAATATATAAAAAACAATCAAACTATTTTGGAAGTAACTTAGACAAACTTTTTGAGATTTATTTATTTTTTACTCAATAAATAGATTGCAGCAACCACGCAAAATCCAGTAGTAATACTCCACTTCCAATACTACTCTTTTTTCTTTTTGTTTTGATTCTTATCAAATTATCATGTATTTTTACCGCTTAGGCTTATTTCTTAATCATTTCGATTTCTTTAAGCACTTTTTATCTCCTTTGTCTAACTCTATTCATGTCATAGAAGGTAACAACCTTATTGTGTATTACTATTTACCTTATCTGTAATGCATTCAGTCTTTTATTAATTATTGACTTCTCGAAAATGGCTGAACAAAGAGAGTTTACTGATGAAGTAAACTTTTACTTTTAAGGCAAATTGCTTTCTATTAATAGTTATTTAATTCATTTGGAGAAGTTTAGAGAAATCTAGATTTACATCTCCATTATATAATATTATTAAAACAATTGTTGGATATTTATACTCTTCTAAATATGGTATATATTCTGATCTAATAATCTGATGTTACCTAGTCTTCAAATTAATATTTAGTTTACAGTTGATTTAAATAGGTTGTCTATTTTCAATTTAATTTCGTAACACAATTATTTGGCTTTGGTAGCTGGATATTTAATTCTGGTTTCAAATATCACAATTTCTCCTTAAAGTATGTCTCCTTAATCTTTTGCTAATTTATTTGAATATAACTCATAGAAGTTGTGTTAATGTTATTCTTACTTGTCTTAATTAAAAGAATTAGATGGATTATGCACAAATTAATGTCTTCGATTAGCTTAATCTTGTCTACTTTATTATTTAAAAAATACGTAGTTCTTATTGATCGAAAGTATTCTTCCTTTGTATAAACATTGGTGTTTTCTAATTTCTGATCAAACATTAAAGAAAATGAATTAAAAGTGAAATTTCTCAATGCAAAAAATACTTGACTTTCAGTGTTTTGATTCTAAATTTAAATTAAAGCAAATTACATTAATTTGCTATGTCTTATAATTTATCAATTATTCACAACTCACTTTTTTTGAATCCAGAATATGTAGCATATGAACAAATGAAGGAGTTAGAAATGAATCAAACTCATCTCCAATTAAATAATGTGCATAACGCTATAAGAATTGACTCTCAATTTTTGAATGAATATCTTAAGCAGAAGCCTAAGATTTTCCTGTTTGAGCTATATCGTTCATTTTAACAAAAAACTTATATTAAATATAATAATAATTCTGATTATTTTAAATTCAACAAAATAATAGAATATTGGGTTGCTAGTCTTTTATTATTCTTATTCCACATTTCTCATATACTACTAAATTTATTTCAAACCTAATCTTCATATTCTTAGTTTTATGTAAAATTCTTTTCTAATTTCTTATATCCTCTAAATGTTAAACCTTTATATATATATATAATAATTAGTTTAAAATAATCCATTTCAAAAGGTTACTAGATGAGGTTCAAATTAAAATATTATTATTTACACTTAATAATGAATCAAAAACCTAAATTATAAGGTTGGTAAGATTTTACTAACACTTCAAAATTTACTAATCAATTAAGAATCTTAAGTGACTCATTAAATTAAACACCTAGATAAACTAAACATCCTAATTCTCCATTTAATAATGTTATCATTAAAAAATGTTTAACTCAACAATCTCAATCTCCTAATTAAAGAAGAAATCCTTATAGAGATTACTAATAATATACTTGTAATAAAAAGACTTACTCTCCAGTTTCCAAAGAATAACTATTTAATTTTAGTTCAGAGAAAACTCAAAAAGAAACTAATATTAAATTTAATGTTTCAAATTAACCAAAATAAATGAAATAAAGTCCTGTTGTAAGATGCGTCTAAAGATATCAAAAATAATAACTAAGAAATAAGTTATTAATGATTTCAAAAGATTTAAACAATACTTAAATTAACCATATAATTTAACTAATTTATAAATGAAAAATAATTGTATAAATTTCAATATGTCAAACTTTTTTACTTTAAGAATTTGCCATAGCTACATTAATAAATGGATGATAAAGAGCATCTTCAGGTGTTATTCTATTTTTTGGATCTAATTACAAACATTTTTCTAATAAATCTTTGAATTACAAAAGCATTTTTTAATCTTCAGCATTTAAACCTTATTCTTTATTCTTTAAAAGAGTTCCAATAGTTCTTGTAGGTTTCTCCCCCAATAAAACTGGTTTCAAAATAACTTATTTTGTAATAGGATCAATTTCTCTACTCTTAAAATTAAGATGTTAATCAAAATATTTTGAAGTTAATGCAGATCGTCTCAACATTTTCATTGAAAATTTTCCCATCGTTTGTAAATGTAATTTCAACATATCATTATTATTGTCTCCTGAAAATAAGAATTATCCTGTAAACAACTCATATAATGTACATGCTGTAGCCCATACATCAATATTAGTATCATAAGGGTATCCAATAATAATTTCAGGTGCTCTATAATATCTACTTACAAGATACTCTACTACTGTTACTTCATCAACAGTGAAAGCAGTACCAAAATCACAAAGTTTTAATAATTTTGTATCAGCTGATATTAATATATTATCTGGTTTAATATCAGCATGTATAATTTTGTGTTTTCTAAGATGAGCTAAAGCAACAAATAACTACATAGCATATGATCTAATTGCTAATAGATCTAATCCTTATCCCTTTGTATATACTTTTAATGCATCTCTAAGATTTAAATCTAATGATTCAAATACTAAACATAGATGTTTTCTATGTTCAAAACTTTCTATTAATCTAAGAATATGCTTTTTATTATTTGAATCAGCTTCATTTAATTATTTTAAGATTTGTCTTTCTCTTTCACCAGATCGAATGTATATATCTTCAGCTCTAATAAATTTGATTGCATATTCTTATCCATCTTTAATAGCTTTGCACACATTTCCAAATACTCCTTTACCACATTTATTAATTATCTTGTAGTCCTTAATCATTTCACCAATGGTAATTCTATAATATTTATCATCATCAGCCTCATATGATGCATTTGTGTTATGTCTCACCATCATATTTAAATCATCATTTTCTAATTCATCATCTAATTCATCAAACATATCTAAAATAATTTTTTTTTATGGCTATCCTGTTTATTATTATTATTGTTCTTCTTAATTGTTTACTTAAATTAAAATGAATAATTACAATTCCTTTATTAATCAAGCATACGAAAGTAACTCTATTTATTTTCATCAATCTATTATTGTGGTTGATCAAACATAAATCCTTAATTATTCTCTTTTTCAGGTGAAACTTAAATCTCTTGTTCTAATTATTTAAATAATTCTTCTCTCATCTGTCTTCTTCTTAAAAATACAGCCTCTTCATCTTCAATATCCAATTCTTTTACATTTTCTTCATTATCCACTTGTATAATTATACCCTCTTATTATTATTATTAATTTCCAATACTCTATTCTTGTTTCTATTCTTCTAAAGGTTACCTTGATTTTTATTGTTAATATATAATTTTTCTATCTTCTTTCTTTTCTTTTCTATTTGAATCTTTTTTATGCTTTTTTTTATTTTTTTTATCCCTCTCTTTTTCCTTACTTCTACTTCTTTTTTTATTTTTTTTTATTTTTGCTTTCCTATGTTTTGATAGTGATCTCTCTTAATCCCATTCTGGAGTCCGTTCACCTTCCTCTAAAATTCCATTTTTTTAGCCATCACCATTTGGAATTTCTCCTTCTTCCATCATATTACTATATGTTATAAATTATATAATTAAATTTTATTATTTTTCTTTTCCATTAAAATTATTCATATGTATTATTTATATGTACAAAATTAAGCATATTATGTTCATCATTATAAGATTGATTTATTATAATAATATACAAATTTAAATCAAATTTAAAGTATTATCTATTCTATCAATAATATTATGTTTTTTTCTTTTTGTTGATTTTCTCTTATTTAAAAAGTAATACTATTAAGACATTCTATTTATAATAAAGAATTATTATAAAAAGATATTTCTGAGTCTCGATTTAAAATTAATTTTTATAAAAAAAATATTCAATAATTTTAAATTGCTATTATAGAAATAATAGTTGAATCTTTAAGATATCAATGAAATCTTTATTATTTTAATCACAAATTGAATTAAATTCCAAATAATTCTAGTATATATTAATTAAATGAAAAGCTTAATTCAAAAAATTTATATTAAAGAAAAGTAATCTTGAGTTTAATATTGGGATTATAACACAAACTTTAAAGATCTTTTTAAATCAATAATATCATTTATATGGTTAAATTCAATAAACAATCTCAAACTTTCCCTAAAGACTCCAAAAGCAATACATGTATAAAATATTTTGAATTTAGAATCTCGAGATAGCATAGAAAGTCTTAGTTAGTGTTCAATTATAATCGAAGAAGGTGGTCCTCATTAAGAAAATTGTACCATATGCTTTAAAAAACTTTGCTCAAAATGCTATAAATAATTAGAACTTTTCCCTTCAAAGAGAAACTAAACTTTCTAATGTCCATATTGTGAAGAATTAAAGGAATTGAAAAATACTATCCTATGCTATATTGTGAATACTCTCTAATTGATTATTTTCCTTTCCCTCTCACCTCTAGTGGCATTTGCACTTGCTCTTAATAAAACTGAAAAGTTTATACAAGAATTAGAAACAAAAATTGATAGCATTTTCATAATATTGATTGTTAACTTACTTTTCAGCATACCTATATACTTTGGAGAACTTATAATTTGTATTTTTATTGCTCCATTGAAAATTTTCCATGCTTTTCATGAAGCCATAAATAACAGGGACTTTGTAATAATGAAAAGAGTTTTCTCGTAATAATGAAATTTGATTTTATATGTGTATATTGATTAATACGTAATATATATCATAATCATTTCTTTTAATTTGAGTATATTTTGGCATAAATGATGCCAAATAAATATGCATTAATTGCAAACAATTGTCTTAAAAGGCCTTATTCTTAAAAATAATTAGTATAAATATAATTATTTTAGATTAATTATGGATTTATCAGATTAAAGTGTTTCTGAAGAGTATAATCCCAATTCTTTTTTATTATTTTTAGATTGAATTTAGTAAAACATTAATATAAATGCAAAATTTTATTGATGAATATTATTGGTTTAAATTATGCTATTATATATAATCAAATATAAAAAATATACTATTTAATATTGGATAAGAATATTATGATATTATAAATAAGAATAAGATTTTTCGTATATATATTATGATAAAAGAATGAAATTTATTGAATGTTAATTAATTTTATTAAGAGATTTTGTACATAATTTTTCAGATATTTTATAAAATATAGAATATTATTAGAAATATATATAGATATCTTTAATATATTTGAATTATTTATTCATAAACTATTTATATAAAATATCAAAGTCTAATTAATGTTGTTTATTGTATTTTATTATAGTTTTCTATAGAGTACTAAATTATATGAAAAATATTAATGTTTATTAATATTATTATAATTAAAAATCAAATTAAATATTGATAAATAATATATTTGTAGTTTAATAAATACAGTTAAATTCACTAACATTAATTAAATGAAGACTGAGGAGGAAGAATATTCATTGACTCTATTTATAATAGAGTTCTTTTAAAATGACTAAAATTATATGAAATTGTAATTACACATGAATTGATTATTTTTTTAGTTTTAGATATTTAACTTCTAAGGGAGATGGACTTAATTCTCCATTATTTTCTTCATGTTCTTCTTAATTTAATTATTCTTTTGTAATTTTACTCATGCTTTCTAAAGCCAAAGATAGAAGATTATTATTATCTTCAAAAAAAGAAAGTTATGATAAATTATTTTATTGACTGGGCATACCAATAACAGTTTAATTTCCACTTTAATTACAACTACTGAATGAATCATTAAAACTAGATTAACTTTTTTATTTTGCAGGTGTTAATGAGATATTCCGACATTTCTATTCTGGTGTTTTTAAAAAACTATGTCCAGATAATCCATCTATACCATTTAGAGTACTTGATGATGCTTGTTTTTTTCTATTTTATAATAAATCTTATTATTCTTAATCTGTAGTTCTTCTTGATCGTTTTAAAATTGCAATTTCTGAACTTGGAACTTAAAGTGATGATGGTGTATAATCCCAATCATATCTTAATTAATCTTAAATATTTTATTAATGAGCTAATTTTTAAAACATTGATCTTAAGAATTTATAATCTGGAGTTGCTCTAAAATCTAATTTACGTGAATAATCAATCATTCTCTCAAATTCATTTGGTAAACCATTACATAATTCATTAAGTGGTATTGTATTTTTCATATCACCTACAGCTTTAATTTTTTATTCATCCTATAATTTTAAAATTTGCCAAGGTAGGCTTCCTAAATAAAAATAATAGACTTAACCTTTCAATAAATAAATTAAAACATATCCCAAAGATTCTAAATCATCTCTTCTACTAAGTTCTTATCCTTTATGAGCTCCTAAACTAGCATATCGAGATGTTCCTAAAAATGATTTATTTTCACAAAAATTGCTTAGAATAATCTTAATTATAATACATATGTCTGCCTTTTTTATCTCTATAAAATTTACTGATTCCAAAATCCACTAAGTATAAATTTGAATCATTATCTCTTCCAGTCAATATATTCTCTGGTTTTATATCTCTATGTAAGACAGATCTCAAATTGATATCAAATTTTACTTTAAATGTATATTTTCAAGAATACTAAGCATTTACTCTGCAATTAATAGTACACATTTTAGTGAAAACTTTTTATATTGTCTTATATAATAAGTGAGATCTTTTCCCAAAAAACTTATTACCATTAGTGTTTATTTCTTGTGTTCTCCAAAATAATACAGTCTAGGTATATTAAGTGTTCCATTCAAATGCTATAGAATTTTTGCCTATTGATATTATTTACCTAAATATAGTTACTTCTTTTTCTAAACTGGATCCCTAATCATTCTTTTCAATCTTTATTGCCACATACTAATTGGTTTAAACATCTTATCCTACATACACTACACCAAATGACCCTTAAGAAATTTTCTTTTTTATTAAGTATTAATCATTAATCATTAAATTAATGTCCATATTACATTATATGCGATTCCTAAACAAATAAGCAACATTTTTAATAATTAACACATGATTTGTAAATAATAAAACTTATTTGTAAGAATTAGACTCAATTCATAATTACATTTAATTATCTCAAATGAAATTAAATCAATTAGGTTTAGATAAAGGATAATGTTCTTTTCTTTATAATAAATATTAATAGATATAAATGCATTAATAATTAAACAATGATAAGAGAAATAGTAATAATTTATAATATAATTGTATTTATCAATAGATTTTACATCAATTCCTAAATATCAAAATTAAAAAATAAAGCTACTAAATTATTATGATATTCAATACTTTTAAAGAGAGAATATAAATCATTGGTTATTTATAATATATTATAATATTTATTGATTGTTATTGACACTACAATAAACAAGGAGAGTTAATCATTTTGATACTGATTTTTTAGATATCAAATGTAAAAATAATCACTTTTTATTATACTATCATCTATTAAATAATAAAATAAAAAATGTCAATATCGAAATAATTTCACCTTTAATTATCACAATCACCAAGATCTATCAATAAAACCTCTTTAAAATATGATCTTGCTTTACTAGGTTAGAGTGAAAGATTGATAAAATAACCTTAAATTGCTCCTTAAAAACGTCATAGAAGTATAATGAAACAGCAATTATTTCTTAAAACTTAAATATAAAATTCATCATTAAATAAGTCAAATGAAGACTTTTTATTTAAGAAACAGAATTAAAATTAAATCTCCTATTAAGAATAAATAATTATGAAAGATTTGCTAATATAAGAGTACGAAAAAAAATATAAGGATCAAGTAATTGTAATTTTTGAAATTTAGATAAGTGTTTGTTAATAATTAACTTGTTAAGTTGAATAATAGAAAGAGTTGATTGATTAATTGTAATTGTAAATTAATCATCTAAAACTATATAATTTAGATCTTAAAAAATAGATTGATAATAGTATTTTACATCAATAATGCAATTAAAAATAGCAAGAATACAAAGATTAATTAAAGAGATTTGATGAAATTCTTAGATAAACAATGGATTAAAATTATACTACTTAATAAAAGATTAAAGATTTTGAACTTAAATCTTAAAAACTTAAACAGTAATCAGTAAATACTTAAATAATATTTAGAATGATTTAAAATATCATATTATTTGTAAGAATTGTAATGCTTAAATTAAGAATGCAGTTACTTTGATACCTTGTGCACATACATTTTGTAATAGATGTATTAGTAATTTTAAGGGATAGTGTTTTGTATGTTTAGATTAAGTAAGATTTTAATATATTAATTATAGAGTAAAGTTACAGCCACATATTCTAATGATTATATAACAGATTTGGCTTAAATATACTAAACTTTAGAATCTTTAATAAGTGTAATATAATGATGATTAATAATTTTATAAATAAATAAAAGAATTATCATTTAGTAAATATATTAAATTTCTAAGTATAATTTATATATATATATGATGAATTTAATTATACATAGAATATATATTACATTAAATCAAAGATTAAGTAGTCCTTAATAGTATTCATTATAACAATTTTGTAAGTCTTATTCAACTTTTTGATGACATTATTCATATTCTCTTTCATCTTATTATGATTTATAACATTATAAGGCTTATCTTTCTATAAAAAGTAAACGTGTAGATAAGAAATTAGCTATATTGTCTATTTTACCTTCATATTTTTCCATACCTAAGAATATTAGATTGTGTTTTTTACATGTGGCAAATATTTCAAAATTATTTGAATTATCGAGACAAATTTGTTTATGCTTTGCTGCTGCTTCAACAGATCTAAGCATTTATTCTTCAGATAGTTTTATATTATGTTTATAGGAATCGAAATCCTTTTCATATTACTATTTTCTATACATAAATTTAATATTAATATATTATTGTTTAATTATATAAATAAATAAATAAATAATCCATCATTAATATGTTTTATTTTAAACAATAGGTTCACACATAATACTATTATAAACTTTTTCTCTTAGTAATTTAATAAAAGTTTGTGTTTAGTTTTCGATTAATTCACCTAATAATCTTGGTATATAAGTGTAATATTTTCTATATATATCCTTTTCTGTACTAGTGAGTTTTTCTTACTTTACAAAATAGCAATAACTAATTTGATTAAATTTTTCTATGTATTCAATACTTGTATTATTAATAAAATTCTTAAATTAATTACTAAAATCTCATACTTTTAATTGATGTTGAGGTAATTATTGTTTCATTAATTACAAACAATTTACCATATGATTAGTTAATTCATAATAATTCTTACCAGTACTCATGAATTAATTATTCACTTGTTATTGTATTTTATTTATATAATTATGTATCACAGGATTAATATCAATTTGTACTTTCCTACATAATTTATAAAAAATATATATATACTTATTTAAATTGATACCATTTATATCAATATTTAATTAATAATCATTCGTCATAGTATTATAACCCTATAGAATTATAGTTATTATTTTTAGAACTTCTTCTAATAATTATTCTTTCTGAGTTTCAGTTTCTTAATCATTTATTATTCTTTAATCTTATTTTGATGATATTTATAATTTGTAATCATCTAATATTAATTAATAATGAGCAATCAATTCATTCTTTTAATTGATTTCATTTAATTATTAAGTTTAAGTATTCAACTATTAATGATAATTGTCTTCCATTTCACTTAATAATTTCTCAAACTCTTTGATAGTTTCATCTTATTCCAATAATTTATTTTTATAATATTAAAGTTCCTCAATCATTTCTTATTTTTCTTCTTAAATACTTTAGCATATTTATTAATACTTATCTAATTAATTAATCATCTTCTACACCTTTTCAAAAGGATTCTTTCCATCAACTATACATACTTTATTGATAAATAACTCTAATTATGACATCATTTTATTAGAATAGCTTTAATTTGATTATTGTTTTATTTGATCTAATATTGGTTTAAATGGAAGAGAATTACCTTATTGATATGAATTATCTAATAATTTAATTACCTATTCAATTTACTAAGATTAATCCATATTAATAGTCCAACAACCTTTTAAAGCTTATCTCAATCCTTAATGTTATTTTTAATATAATTTAGTAATATCCATATTACATTACAATAGTTCAAAAAGTACTCTACTTTTTTCTTTATAAAATAATAATTCATCTTCTTTTTTGATAAGTTACTCAACCATTTCTTCTTGTTTCTATATAGACAATTATAGTATTTCTTAATTCTTTGATATAATTTATTAATTCATTTAACTACAATGTCTTATAAATATGTCTAATATTTCTTTTTATTCTAATTCTCTGTTAATAGACTCTTATAATTCTTATTAATAATATGGAGTAGTTTCAATATATTTAATTTGAACATTATCCTCTCCTTATTTATCTTATTCTATAAATAAATTCATAATTTCTTTTGCTGTAGTAGTTTAAACAGGTACTTTTAATTTTTGAACATCTTTTTATTGTTAATTGTAATCTTCACTTAATGATTAATATTTTTCTTTGAATCCTTCATTGTCTCTAAGTTATTGTTCCAAATAATGAATTTATTAAGACAATTCATCAATCAAATAATTCTATTATGATAACTCATCCCGCATTTATTCAATTTCTCTATCTTTTCTCATAAGTTATGTGATAACAGGAGAGAATTGTTTATTTTTAGGAGGTAATGTACTTTGAGAATCATAGGAAGAGTTAAGTTAAAAACTTCTATCGATCATTTGAAATTAATTTTATAATAATGTAATAGTTAATTAATAAATTAAATTATCACATCAAATAAAAAGTTTAATAAAATAGTATACCAAATCTGATTTATTATAATTGAGTTATTGAATAATAATGTATATATTTATCTAATTATCTTTTTAAATATTGAGATTCTCAATTACATTCTTTAATAAATAATAATAATATCAATTATTTTCTTTAACTAATTATAACAATAGCTATTCTTGTTTTAAATATATATATTATTTAAATATATTTAAAATAAATCAAAATAATCTCTTTCATTATATAAATACTAGAAATAATATATTAATAAATAAAATGGAATAATTACTATTAGTTTAACCTGAAAGAATGTTGAAATTCGAATTAGAAAATAATTAATATGTTGCAAGAATAATTTTACAAAATGTTTCAGCAATCTTTGTAGCTTTTAAAGTTAGATTAAGCAATCAAAATGATTATAGTGTAAAACCAAATATAGGAGTTTTAAGAGCTGGTAATAGTGTAACATTGTTATTAACAACAGACAATGCAATTAATATAAATTTTGATCGTGTTTAGATTTTAGCTGGACCCATTTCTAATAATGAGGTATAATTTAATAAAATTAGCAGGATGTGATTTAATATTTCAAAAAACAATTAAGATTAAATTAAAGAATCCTTAAATGTAGTATTGGTGATACTTCATCATTATCATCTACTATATATAAATCTTCAATTTCTCCATAAGAAATTAATGATTTCAAAACAACTACAATTAAAACTGAATATGTTAAACCATAAAAGAAATAATCAACAACAAAAGATAGTTTAAGTTTGGAAGAACAAATAAAATTAATTGTATAATATTTTAAATTAATTTTTATAGAGTGAAGATTTGAAACTTATTAAAGAAAAATAAAATGATGGCAAGATAACAGTAGGGATTAAATAATTCTTAATATCAATTTTTATTTCAATGATTGTTGGAGTATATATAACTTATAGATGATATTATTCATATAAAAACATATCTCGTTCTTTAATTAATTAGAACATTGGCAATATTTATTTTTTTCATACTTTTTATTTATTCTTGAGTGAACTCAAATGATACTTTCTTATTCGAGATCAGTTGATAAGATAAGTTATTTGAATTCTAATTTTATTGTGCTTCAAAAGAACATGTTTTCAGTATTCCTTATGGAGATACATTTTTTATTTTTGTTGGTGTATTTTTACTATTTCTAGGTTTTTTAATTGGGACATCATGATTTTAACTTAAATTTTTCTTTTTAGATCTGTTCAATCTAATTTATTACATACTAGCAACTTAAGGTTTATTGTTTTTTTAGTTTCTTTTATTTTCTGTAAAAATGTCCACACTTTTGCTGACATTAATTGTACAAGATGAAATAACTTGATCTTTTAATGTTCTGTTAACCATTTTTGGTTTTAGTTGTTAATATTAAACTTATTCATCATTACTATAGCTCACTCCCATGAATTTATATTCAGGAGATGGTATTGGTTGATTTGCTTTTTCATTTTATGTATTTATTTAAGTATTGTCCTAATAACAGTTTTAGAAGTGAGTTTAAAATGGACATATTTTTACTTATTTAATTTCTTCGTCTGAGTTAATATCTATATTTGATTCGAAACTATTTTCTGTAGTCATAATCAAAAAAATAAATATCGAGACAGAAACATTTTAGAATAAGATTTTACTTCCTATTATTATAACACATAATGAATTTAACTAGTTTTTCATATTGAATTATTATTCATTATCTTTGAAGAAATGAATAATATAAAAACATTAATAATCATTTATACATTCTTAGAATACTTAAATCTTGTTGATTTATAAATCTGACAGATTTTCTAATTTCATGTTTTTTATCTATCAAATATATCAATTAAATAAAACTACTTACTTATCGCTTATAAATATTTGTAATCTGTTAACCTTATTTCTAATATCAAACAGGATAGCTTTTTCATATTCTTTTCTCTTAATATTTCTATTTTTTATTTACAATAATAAAACTAGTTTTTCCTTAAATAATTTATTTTACAAATACAAAGATCAATCATGTTAATTATTTTTTCATTTAAAAAAATTAAAGAATAATAGGTTCATTTTGAAGATTAATTTATAATATTATTAGTTATTGAGTTGAATAAATTGTTATTAAAAGGAGAATATTGATAGATTATATAATAAATAATATTATATATCCATCAATCAATCCAATTAAAGAACTCATAAAAAATACATTAAATATTTATATTCTATGGTTTTTTTACTCAAAAGATTTGTTATATGTTCCTTAAATATTTAAGGTGATCTTGATATAATGAATATATACTTATATTATATTATGATTTAATTGATTGGTGGAATAATAAAACATTAATTACATTTATGGGTGGATAACAATCTTATGGACAAGCTATAAGTACTTACAATGAGAAAAAAGCTATTATTATTGGTTAAGTGAATGTCTAAACAAGTATTGATCATAGTAATAAATACTAATAAGTAATATTTAGTGACTGAAATCATTGTGGCATTGGGAAATGAGATACATCCTTAATTATGGAATGTGGCAATAATGGAAATGAGAAGTACAGATACTGATTTTCCATTGACTTATCGTAGATTCTGTATGTCAAATCCAGTTGAGGAATATGAAAATTAATACATTCCTGAAAAAATAAGTAATGTTTAGCAAAATTGAAGATCAATTTACAAGTATTTAAAGACCATAGAGAATTGAATTTCATAAGAAAACAGGTCATTTCTGGACAATACTAATTCCAAGTTATATTTAAGAACATTTGCAAAATGATGAATCGAATTTAAATGCACAAATAATTTATCCATTTTGTGATAAAACAAAGTTAAATTTATATAGATAGTAATATCAATAAATATATGTTGATGCATTCAAAACAATTGAATAAGAAATGAGTAACCATTCTGCATACATTTCAGTTGGAATATTGGATATGTAACTAAATAATCCAATTTTGGGAATAGACAACTATTCTATGACTTAAGATATTATAGATGCATTTATTTAATGTACTCCTAAAATACATAAATTAATATTCATATCTGAAAATGAAAAATAAGCATTTATAATGGGAATGGCATTAAAAGATAAAACTAGAGAATTATACGAAATTACAAATGGATTTATGGAATAAGAAAAATAATAAGTAGATCAAATAATGAATTAGAATGAAGTTCCAATTAAGGCTGAATTAGAAATACAATTTAAATAAGATGAAGATATTTAACTTAATTCAAATAATCTTTAATAGGAAATTCAGAATCTGAATCCTTAAATTTAAAAGATTTAAAAACCTAATGTGGTTAGTTATAACAATGGACACAAATGTACAGATAAATATATTTACATGATTAGAAAATATAGTATATTAATACTTTAGAGAATTCAATGTTCCTTTAAATTAATAAGTATTTCAAACAATACTTCCAAGAGTGGGTAGTGATTACAACTTATTGTGTCTATGCGGTAGAAACTTAATAGTTAGAAATGAAGGTAATTAGTGTTGTTATTGTGGATTACAAAGACCTACATTATTTTAATGTGAATAAAGAGTAACATTTTATTTTATTTAGGCATGTGGAAGATAGTATTGTCCAAGTTGTTTTAATCCAACTAAATTATATAATTTATGTATGTAAGGTCATTTAATGAAATTCATTGATGCATTAAATAATACTTATTAATGTTTCTTTTGTAGATAATCTACTTATCGTCTTGGATATTTCTTTTGTGAAACATGTTCTTTTAAAATATGTGCTTATTGTTATTATTAAAAATATTCTGAGTGGCAATTTAAGAAAGTAATATTATCATATATATTTATATAGATGAAATTATACTTGAATTGTTTGAAAAAGATCAAACCAAATTATAGATAAGAAGTTTCAAATCAATTAATTACTGAATATTTAATGGATGCAAATTTATAAAAATTAAGATAATAATGATATATATTTATATATATATATATAAATATTTATTCATATTTACTTATAATTATGGTTCTTAAATAAAATACAAAAATTATTAAAAAAAAATATCAAATCAAATTATTTAAACAGCATAAAACTTATATTAAATATCACATATTACTTGGTTTATCCAATAAATGTTGAATAAAAAAAGAACAATTACTTTATGCCTTAGATTATTAAAATGGATATGCCTTATCTCCAGCTTTATCAAAAGATAAAATGGCTGGATAAGATAAAGTACCTCTTCTATCTTAAGACAATAAAGCTTAAGGGGTTGCTACTGTCTATTTGAACCATCCAATCAATTATCCCCAAACAAATTAAGAATAATAAGCTCCATTCTAAATCTTCAATTGGAGGTGATAAAAATCCTACATATTCATAAGATTTACAGATACATTTATTAGTAGAATATTATATAAATCATAAAATACATTATAATTTAATCTTTACTTAAAATTTCACATTGATATATATGAATAAACTAAGAATTAAAGAAAATTCATTTACTAATAAATACAATTATATTTTTAAAATATGATATTAATAAATTTATTATAAACCTTGTTAACATATAATAAAATTAATTCTTTAGAATAATGCAATAAAATTTTATTTATTTTTACATTATAAATGTTAAATCAAGGTAGAGCTCTTTGGTATGCTCTAAAAGTTGAAGATTATGATTTGGTTGAGTTTCTGATCAATTAAAAGACTGATATAAGATAAACATATGAATTTGAGCCAAAAAGATATTTATCTACTGCAAGTGTAATAATACTTAATATCAATTTTATAGTTATTAACTCTTCGGGTTTGCTAGGCTCGTTCTAAGGGATTGAATAATCATCACTACAAAAGGATGTATTAATTACTTGATACTTTTCTGTAATATGCAGAAGAATGTGATATTCGATGCCATTGTTCAAAGAACTATGAACATCGATGTCCACTCTATATAGCATTGAAAACATTAGGAGTTAAAAAAGAAGATGATATGTTTAATAAGAAAAATGACATTCTTAAGGCTTTACTTATCAAAGGGGCCAATTTAAAAATTTTTTAAGGGTAGACTTAGATAATTGATGTAGAAGGTTATAGATAATATTTGATATAAAGAATTTAATTCTAAAAAACAAGTGGATTCAAGTAAACATAAGATGGATATGCTACTTTTAGTCAATGATATAATAATATTATAATATCAATCTTAGATTTGCTATTCTTCCAATGAATCACAATATTCATGATGATATTTTACAAATGAAAAAGTTTAACTTTATTCTTTAATCATTGAACTTTATAATTATTGTTTTAAGAGTTTATCAGTAGCACTTTAGAATTGATTTTATAATTCAATATTCTATTCTCTTAAATACTGATTCTCTTATTCTAATTGTTATAATTTATCTTTCATATCATTTAATTCCTCATTGTTATCGTTTTCAATTAAATTTAATTCCTTTTCATTATAGCAAATCTAAACTTCAGCCTTAAGTTATTCAACCATACTTTCACTAGAATTTTCTTTTTAATTTTATTAAGATTCTTTAATTAAATCCTAATATCTTAATTTCCATTTGTTTTTCTTTTTTAATATACTTTCAAATTAATTTAATTATTCTTTAAATATAAGACAATCTTATTTGAATTGTATAAGTTCAGATTAAATTTAATTCCTGTCCTTCTCTAATTATTTATATTAAATATCCAATTTCTGAAATGCTTAAGATTAATCAATATATTTTCTATAATATTAATTTCTTTCTTCCTTTAATTGTATATAATTCTTAGATGAAATCAACTACTACTACTTTAATTCACTTATTTATTGTTTTAGTATGTCATTTTAAAATTATTATTATTTTACTTGTTATTCCAATTTACTCTCATTTTCTAACCTCTTTTCCATTATTTCAAATTTTTTAGTCCATTCTAAAATAATATGGTTTTTCTATCTGCTTTTAATAAATATTTACTATAATAATATATGCAATTTCGATATGTCTTCCTATTGCTTATAAGCCAATATTTATCTCCTTAAAAGTGCATTCTCTAATTCACATTCTTATAATGCTTATGATTTTTCTACATATTTATTACTCAAATCATCTAATTCCATGTTTAATAATTTCCTCTATTAATTTACTCGATGCAATTCTTATTCTAGTTGATTACTTTTGACTATTTATTCAGTCTAATTTGTTATGACATCTTATAATGAAGTTCTAGCATCTCTTGAAGTATTTAGAGATATGTTCATCTTTTTTTTTAACGGACTTATTTGCATTTTTATATATATTTGTATAAATTCAACAATATTTCTCATATAAAGGGAAACTAAAGAGGAGTATTCTAAATTTCAGAAAATGGAGTCATTGGTTCACAAATTTCATATAAAGGCTCTATTAAGATAGAACCATATTATGGTTAATATCCTTTTAACAAATTCATCATCAAATCCCATGTTTGCTTATATGGTTTATAAATTTCAGGATTCTTTTTTTTCTGACATTTCTAATTTCATATATTATCAATATATTACCTTTAATAAATCATCTAATTTCAATAATATTAATTCCTATTTTTTAGATTATATTCTTAAATGATAAGATAAAAGTCCTTATTGTTCTTTCAATCTATCTAATTGCATTTTCAATTCAATATTCGATTACCTTATCTAATTTAAATCGTTCTCATCTACTAATACTGTGGATACTCTTTAATTACGTACTATCTTATACAAATCCTAAATACTTCTTATTTTCAACCTTGAACTTGCCTTTCACAAAATACTGGTGCTAATACTATTTCTGATTTCGTTCATTTTTTTTCATACTGAATCCATACATACTCAACTATCTCAAAAATGATTAAAAGCATTTTGTTGTAAAGTTCTCAACCATCACTTTTTAAGAAAATTCTTCAATCTTAGGAATTACAAAACTATTTCCAGATGTTTACCAACGGATATATTTTCTATATTCATTTGACTTCATATTATAATCAATAACTCACTTCAAGTATCTCATAAAGTTTACTTATAAACTTTGTAGGTTTGCTCATTTATTATTATTTTATAACCAATTATTATATATATTTTTAGATCAAAGTTAATTGCTTTGTTAAAATAAGTAATGATTTGTAGAATAAAAATTTTAATATATATTCATATAGATATTTAATGTCATTCTTTTTTATTTTTGATATATTTTATAAAGAATAATTGATATTTAATTTTTTTTACTTTTTGAATTTACTTCTATTAACTAATAAATTTAATAAAGTTGTTAGATATTCATTAATCGTATTTCCTTTAATTAATTGAATTTTATACTGAAAAAGCCAAATCCAATGATTCTATAATTCTTTACTTAGAGTAAAAATTTATAAAATTTATTTAATTAATGAATTTTTAAATATATTCTACTATTAGTTTAAGAATCCTAATATTACTTCAAAAAATGAATTTAGAGTGTTAAAATATATACATACATATTATTATTAACATTACTAAAATAAATTAGCAAAATCTAACTTAAATTTAGTAAATATTATTTAACAGAATTTTTATCTTATATAAAACAATTAAAAGAATTATTATAATCTCTTTAATTCTAAAAATAAGAAAGCAAATCAAATTAGTTTAAAATAAATTTAATGCTTTTTGTTTAAATTAAGTGACCATTTATAGTGTAATCTTTATTATTAAATCAAATAATACACACAATTAAGAAAATGCGTATTAATATTGCGTTATATAATTGAGCAAACGCAATACGGAATATTTTTGAAGAAATATTTAAATTAAAACGGAATTGCTTAAATGATTACATAATTCCATATATAATAGTTATGTTATTATGATAAGAAAAAAATATATACACAAATCTCACAAAATTGAGTAGTTTAGGTAATCATACCTATTCTTCATCAGTTTCTTCATCTATAATTAAAAGTTCGCTATTTTTTATTTATAATTCTCTCCTGTATTGTTTTATTTAAAACAAAAAAAATAAGGAGAGCTAATTAGTATCTAAATTCTCTGGAATTTCAAATTAGTTTTGTACAACTATTTCTTTGAGATATAATTTTTCTTAATTGGTAATTAGTTTTAATTCACACAGAGTTCTTAAAGTTTAAAAGCAAATTCTATAAAAGAATTCATTCATCATTAATTTTAAATATAAATAATCCTTTTTTTAGCCTGATTTAAATTAATTAAACAAATTTATATTTGTATGTGTATAATTTATCATTCTTTCTTGCCTTCCTTTTTGGTGGCATCCTTTTTTTATTAAGGAACATCCTTTTTTTATACTTATTTGCCTTCAACTTAAGCAATTGCCTTAATCTTATCTTTCTCTTAAAGTGTTACTGTTCTATTCCAAATGAATTTTCCATCTTTTGAATCGAAATCTAAATTGAAATATCCCAATCTTTCAAATTAGAATTTATCTTCTGGTTTAGAATTCAAGAGATCCCTAAAAATAATAAAAAAATTAATATACTTGTGCATTAAAGCATTAGGACATACTATCTTTGAGTTTGGATTAATTCCTTTTATGTAATCATCTAATTCATTAGGATCATAGGCTTCGAATAAATAGTCATATAATCTGACAACACAAGGAGTGGCTTCTTTAGCAGATAGCCAATGTAAAAATCCTTTAGGTTTGACGTCCTTTCCTAGTCGTTCTAGGTGAACTTCATTGGCAGTAACACTGATAACTTTGAAAGGTCCACATTATTTGAGTCCAATAATTTTACCAGGAGCAACACCCCAAAAATCAGCATGATCTTCAGTCCTTTAAAATAGTTATTTTAAATAAATATACCTGACATCACTTTTATCTAAATATATTGATTTAGTCAAAAGGATCTTTCTATTACCCTTTTATGGATTTCTTGGAATGATAGGAACTTCTAATTCTTCAGAAAAGTCATCAGCAACATTGTCAATAATGGCTACGATTGGTTCTAAGATAGCCATAGTTCTAGGAGCTTTGACATCTAAATCTTTTCTGATGCAACTTTCAAGAACATGCATGCCAATGAAATTTTCATTACCTTTTCTGGTAACACTAATTAAATCACAAAATTTATTAATGGAATCAGCTGTGTATCCTCTTCTTCTGAGACCGTTGAGAGTCAAAATTCTAGGATCATCCCAACCATCCACAATATTGTTAAAGACCAAATGATGAAGTTTTCTCTTACTTAATACTGTATTAGAGACATTCAATCTGGAGAATTCCCAAACGAAAGGTCTGTAAAGATCTAATTCTTTTAAGAACCAATAATAGAGGTCTCTTCTGACTTCAAATTCAAGTGTACAACATGAATGGGTGATACCTTCAATAGAATCACAGATGCAATGAGTAAAATCATAGAGAGGATAGATGCACCATTTATCTCCTTAATGAGGATGAGGAGTGAATCTAATTCTAAAAATGGCTGGATCTCTTAGAGTTGGATTAGGATGTGTTGGATCAATCTTGGCTCTCAAACAAACTTCATTCTCTTTATAGTAACCCATTTTCATTTTTCTGAAGATTACAAGATTTTCATCTGGAGTAGTGTCTCTGTATGGTGAAGGTTTAAGATCACTTCTTAATTTAGAAGACTAAAAAAGTTATAGAATGTTAATAATACTTCTTCTTTGCTTAAGAAACAACAATAAGCTTTTCCTTTTTGGATCAATTAAACAGCATACTCATAGAGTTTTCCAAAGTTGTCTGATGCATGAGTGGTTTTAAATGGAGTGTATCCAAGGAATCTTAAATTTTCTTTGATGTTGTCAATGAATTCTTAGCATTCCTTTTCTGGATTAGTATCATCAAATCTTAGATAAGTGACTCCTTTATAGTGTTATGCTAATCTAAAATTGAAATTGATTGATTTTGCATGACCTATATGTAAATAACCATTTGGTTCAGGTGGGAAACGTGTTAATATTTCATAAGGGAAATTCTCCTTTCTCCAATTAAGTAATTATTCACTATTAACTGTTGTGGCAAGGTCTCTAGCAACTAATTTGGAGATATCAAATTTGCATTCATCATCATCTTCTTCAACTTATTATTATTATTATTGTTATTATTATTATTATTATTATTATGGTTTTTTTGTTTATGTTTTGGCTGCCTTTAAATCTTCCTCAGTCTTTGGTCCAAGTATAGCTTCAATTTATTAATTGAGTTCTTAAGTTAATAACTTTCCTTCAGCAAATGGTAGGAGTGTTCTTACTTATTTTGTGTATTCAGAGAAATTATAAGTATATCGGATAGTCTTCAAATCTTCTTTACTCTTAAGGAATTGAGCCACTGTGTCTTTGATTTATTCTGGAGTCACCACTATTCCTACACCTGCAGCTTTCTCAAAATCTTATACAGGTATTTATTCCAAATGAGTGTGTGTTTTTAAGTATTCTAGACCACCTTCCAACTGCAATTTGTTGGAAATCTTTCCTTCAACAATATATTAAGCCAAAAGAGCTCTTCTATTGTCAAGGGCCTCTGTTAGATTTTAGGACATCTCATATAACAAATTACCAATCTATATAAAAGAATTATAAATACTTTCTTATCACATTCCTTAACCCCAACCAAATCAAGAGTCTAAAGTATTGATTTCAATGCATTTTTTCCTTTAAGGGTGTTCTTGATAGTTGTTTCATCAAGTCCAATCTTCTAAAGACGTGTTTAAACTTCTTCCATTTTTTAAGGATTCACAAAAATATTTAATTAAATTTTAAATAAATCTTAAAATCATGAACAAGCTATATAAAATGCATTTCTTGTATGAGTTTATGCATCAATAATAGTACTTGGAATGTCACATCTAATTTTTGTCCAATTTATAATACCTTAAGTGTGGATATTCACATTAGGTATTTATTCAGAAAGATTATTTTCTATTTATGATGTTCATAAAATAACGTTGTTTCTACTGCACATGTAATCTTTGTATTATTAGTGAATAACCAAGCTTATACACATCCAAGAGTGTAAACAACAACAATTTTTTCAATAATATTGAACATTATTGCGTCGTTAAGTGCTTCACTAAACCTTGAAAATAAATTTGAAGCAAATAATATTGAGAAAAATATCCATTAATACTTTTATTATTTCCATTTTGATAAAAATACACTATACTACACTTCCTTTATTATGTAAGTTTTTCCAAATTGAATATAAGTGAAGTTCACAAAAAAATACAACTACTTGAAAGTAAAATTTACAAAACATATTGGCAATCTTACATCTGATTAATCCAATAATCCACTATAACACCAACTTTAGTCTAATTAACTCAATCCAGAACATAATGTTCTATCATATTTGATAGCGGATGAATCTCTAAAATTCCTACTTCATTTATTTTATAGCAAAGTACAGTTTCAGAACTTAAAGAAGATGAACTAGGTGTACAATGTTCTGATAAGAGAAAGATGCCTATAGAAGTGTTGTAATTATAAATAGATACCTTTAAACATATTCAAAAACAAAAATTATTCATTTTCAAAGGGGATATTATGATTATATTTTTATCAATATTATTATTATAATATAGATCATTAAGATTTCGACCTTATTTGTTGATGAGATTAGATGAGATAATAAAATTTAATCATTCTTGTTAAAACAATTTATATGAATTAAAATAAAAATTATTTCCTCAAATATTCATTATCAAATAAAAGGAAAAACATTAGGCGAAAATAGAAACTCAGGCATCGGACTATTCATATCTTTAAAAGTTTCCTACAAATACTCCATTGAAGGCTTATAACCAAAAAGAACTGTAAGAAAATTGTACTTAAATCTTAATTAAGATTCATTCTCATGAAATTCTTTTAAGGCCAAAAATACCTTTTTCATTCATTAAATAAATACATCAACCATCTTCCCAATTTTTTAAGCTATCAATAGTTAGATTTTGTATTGTATTCTCAATTATTGCTAAATAATTTATTATTGCTCCTATAAACATTTCAATTTCTCTTAGAGAATAGTGTTTTATTCTATAAGATCTGAAGTACTAAATTACTATTCAGAAATTTGGTTGATTTGCTTTCCTCTCTTTATTTTAAATAAGTCTTTACTAAGAGTTAATATTATCATACAATTTTCCTTTCTTAAAATTCTGATGGTAATACTCTTTGTTATTCCTATCATTTTTTCTCATCTTGAATCCATATAAGCATAATTATCTTAAAAATGAATGTACATTTGATGTTCTAAAATATTATTACAAAATTCTAGTTTGAAATTCGGAATTTCTTTAAAAAGAAAATGCTTATCCATTATCTACCCAATATATCAAATATTATAAATTTGGATCCTATGGATTAATTTTAAGATACTTCTAAGATTTCATATAAATTGAGAATAAATTTCTTTGGTTTTTTCATTTACTAAATTGATAAATTAAGTATTGTAAATAATTACTATGTCAAATAAATATCATTAAATAATTAAGATTAAAATATCATTTATATATATTAATTATTATCAAAAACATCACTTTTTCTCTATCTTTTCAAATTTTAAGTAAAAATAGTGAAATATTTGATAATACCATTTTATTTTTTATAATGATTAAATTATAGATTAAACGATTCTATATTTTCTCCATTCTATTTCAATAATAAATTTTTAAAATTTAAATATTATGTTGACTATTATAATTTATTAAGGTATTTTGTAAATATTTTAATATTTTTATTACATTTTGATTAATTAAGTGAGGAAAAACTATTAAATTTTATAATAGATTTTGGTAATTTAAGTAAATCTTAAATTTATTGTCTATTAAAATAACAAACTTAAATTTCAAAGAATAACTTCCGATAAGATATAAAAATGTTTTGATTCATATTAAATTTTACTTTTTTATTACAAATATCAATATAATTGAATGATAGAATTAAGATTAATTTACTATTAAAATACTTCATTAAATGTTAATCTTTAACCTTAGTTTGATTATTTCAAAATTATAAAAGTTTCGAAAAAGTTAAACTGTTTAAAATGATCATAAAATATTAATAAATAACTTAGTTATAAGTATTTACTAAGAAATTGAATTACATAAGGATCGAAATACTCAAGATTATAACTTTACTTAAAAATTTGTTATAGAGTAATAAGCGAAAAAAAGACAAAAACCTTATTATGAATAAATAACACTTAATTAATGTTTTTATTGTATCAACCTAAATATAAATAACACTTTATCCTTCTTTTTTTATTTAAATCACTTAAATATTTCAATTTAAATAATATACAACAATAATTTTGTAATCTATAAAATAGAATAAAATGCAAATACTGAGATAAAATAAGAATTTCCTTTTGAAAATAGAGAATATTTATTTAAAATTTATATTAACAAAGTGGATAGTTATGATTATTATAAACAAAATGTAGATTAAACAAATTTTTTATTTCTATTACATTAATCTATAAGGAGGATGATGTATTATTTAATCCAAAATATATGGATAAATTAGATATGACTAGGAAATAGAAATGATATTATAAAGATAATTAGATTCATAATCAATAATTTTATGATCAAAATATCACCGGATCCAATTCTCTATAATACCATAAAGCAAGATAACGAATAATAAACAAAGCAGCACCTAATGTCAAAACTGCTGGACTATTAAAATTAAGAAGACTAACATAAACAAGACTTAAAAATGAAATAACAGTAGCAGTTGATAAATCATACTTACAAGCATCTACCCAACCATAATATACAGCAGTTGCCAAAAATCCAATTGCCACACTAATTACACCTTCCTTAAACTTCATCAAATAAATATTTTTTCTGAAATTACTCCAATGAGGTAACAATCCCCAAATTTATAAAACTGAAGGCACAAAAATTGCAACCCAACAACAAATGCCTCCATATATACCCATACTATGAGTACCTAAGAAGATAGCAAAATTTAAATAAGGGCCAGGCAGAGCTGCTGCTAAACCAAATCCTAACCAAAATGCATCAGCATTTATATATAAAGGATTTAAAGCAGTTTCTGCATACATGAATGGTAATGTAATAGGTGTACCTCCAATCATAAATGTTCCAATATTGTAAAATGAGAGAGATAAATCTAAAATCAAAGATTATTATTATGAATTTAGATACAACAATAATAATAGTATAAGGGAATACATGTGTAAAGATTTATTTCCTAATAATTAACTGATTTTATGACTGTTTTTTTTGTTAATTAATTTTGGATCATTAAAAATTGCAGGAGTAGCACTTTATTCTTTTACAAATGTTCTTCTTCCTATTGTATTTTCTGCATCATATTCAACCATAATTGTTATTATTCCTCCCATCATCATAGTCAATATTAATACATACGGTTATTAATATGTAACAAATAATATTGCACTTAAAATAGATAAACTAATATGCATCTTATTATTAATAGTCTTCACGGCCATTGATATCAATAATTATAAAATCAATGAAACAGTACTTGATTTGATTCCCTGAATGGCCAGAAATACAAGAATGTTGAGATCTCTAGGATCAGGATACTTACTATAAATATAACCTAATATTGTTAATATCATTGCTCCAGGCATTGTATATGCCAATAAAGCAACAATTCCTCCCAAGGCATTTTTTTTTGATATTGTACCTAAAGCTACCATCATTTATGATGTTGTTGCTCCTGGTATAAAATCAACCAATGATGTTATTTCTTCAAATTAAGGTTCCTATAATTATAATATACTTTACAGAAACAGCCTTATTTTAAGTTACAAAGACATTCTTGAATTATTAATAATGACTGGTACTTAGTGTTTATACATCAACAAGGGCTAAAGGAGCAGCACATTTTAATAATTCTAGATAAGTTAGAGTTTTGGAATCATCAATCAACAAAGAAAATTTTGGTTGTGTATTTTTCACTCCTAAAGTTTACATTTCAATCATTTTAATAAATTAATTAATCAATTATTAAACATTTTGTGCATCATACCATATTTTATTAATTCTCTTTCAGCTCTTGTGTATCCAAATAATGCAGCCAATACTTACAATGCTTCAATATTAAATCTTATATATTTAATAATTATTACCTTGCCAAATAATTCTTATAATCAATTTCTTTAACTAACCTTTACAATTCTGTTTCCTCAAATTTTCTAAATAACCCCTCCTTAACTTCTATATCTTTTTATATTTATTGATATTCCTTTATTAATTTATCCTTCTCAAAATTATTTATTTCAGTAAAAACTATAGATTATTCTTAATTTGCTTCAGATTTAAACATCTTGGCTATTCTTCTTTAAGCTTCATTATAAATTATATCATTTAATGTTTCTTTACTTTAAAATATATGAGTAAGAGTTGATTAGATCAATTTATTTTCTGTTTCACTTAATCCTTATATCAATAAAGATACTTAAGATTCTTTCTATTATCTAATCTATTCTATATGTTATTTCTTAATATCTAATGAATCAATTTAAGAAAAATGATTTTTAGATAATAGAGACACTATTGAATTGTTTCCTGTATCAATTGAAGAATCTCTATAATTACTGAACAATTAATGAGCCTTCTTAAATAAATCATTCAATTCAATTGTTTTTCTTGTTTTTGTAATTAAGAAATCTCTTGCTTTACTATCTAAATATGGTGGAAAACTTGCTTCTGCTATTTTCTCACCTGAATCCCAAACTGCTTTAATTATCCAAGATAAACCCTATGATCTACAATCTAAACCAATTTTAAGTAATTCTAATAAAAATCCTTAAATTGATTTTAATAATGTTTTATTATTTTTATTCAATTTTGAATTCTCTTATTCTAATTTTTCAATTTAAATTGCATTCAATTTCATTTATTATTAAAATTTGTTATAATTATCTCTCATTTAATCTATTTAACTTTCTAATTCATTTTATTTAACTGCAATTACCATATAATTGTCAACTTAACTAGCATTATTTTTAATATTAGGTGAATTTGATGACTATTAAGGTTTCTTATTTATTCCTTTCAATTCTTCTTATCTTTCTTTGATCTAAAATTAAACCAAATATTTACGAAATCCTATATGGCTCTTAATTTTTTATGAATTTCATGATTCTCCATTCTTAAAGTTTCAAGATCTTTCTCATTTTTTTTTACAGTATTTTTTTATCTTTCTAATCTAGAATTAATTGATAATAAAATTTAGTTCGTTTATTTTTCATAAAATAATGCTCGATCACTTGCATTCTAAAATTCAGTTAATTGCATTTTAATTAATGTATGTAAACTATTCTTTAAACCTTCAACAGTATAATCAAATATTAGAGTCCCATCATGTTTTTCCTCTCCTTATTATTTTGCTCTAGCTAATTCAATCTATGCTAATTCTTGTTATGTTAAAGTTGAACCCTATTACATATACTTATCTAACTATTTAGTAAGAGAATGATCTTAATGAAGCATTTCTATTTTCTTGATAGCTGATATCTTTTACAAGGATCCCATCAATTTCTATTTGAATACACTTTATTCTCCTTCCGACTTTGAAGATTCAACAATTAACTTAGGAAAGGCTGGAATTCCTTATATTGCTTTAGATCTATCATTCAATCCACCTCTCCTCAATAATTATAATGATTATGACTTTTCTTAGAATTATATTTTAGCAAGTCCTAATAAATTAAATAGTATTTATACTTTCTTTCTCCTATTCCTATTTTAATTTCTCTTATTCTTCTTTCCATCTTCTTTTTATTCCTTTGTACCAAGTATCCAAATTTGCTACTAATTAATCATCACTTTCAGCTTTATATTATTAATTTGCCTTAAATTGCTCTTCTTGATGTAATTTCTTACGAACTGTTTTTGTATTATTATCAGGATCCTCTTCAAGTTTCTCATAACTTTAATATAAATATAATATATATATATACATTTCTTATAATAATAATTTGGCACCAGGTTCATTTGACAAACGAGATCTTAATTTATTTTCTAAATCAGTTCTCCTAACTCTCTAATGCAATTTAACTGGTTTCTTTGTTGAATCCTTAAGTGAAGTAATCATTTCATCTTAATCAGGCATAACTATATCATAAAACTGTATTGTGTTCATTTCATCATTAAGTATTTTTTTACGCATATCTTGCATTACTAGACTTTCAATTTCTAGATGATTAGTAGGTCTATGTCTAGTCCTAATTATTTCAGGAGCAGATTAAAGGTCATTCCTTTTTATTTTTTTTTTATGCATTTATTTATGAGAATTAAATTACTTATACAATTTTTATTATTATTCCCTAATTGAATATTTTAGATACTAAATATATAATTAGCATAGACTATTTAGTTTTAAGAAATATCAATTATTGATTACAAACATTTATTAAAATAAATTTATTAAGTGTTCCTTTTAATACTAATATTTCAGTTTATAATTTTTATTTATAAATATTTATATGATTAATCTTCAGATAGTATTTTCTTATTAAATTCAAATATACTAACTGTAATAAACTTCATAATCATATAAAATGTCCAAAAATAAATAACTACCATCTCTAATAGGTTAAGTAATCTTTTTTAATATATGTTCCTTATTAATCCGAAAAATTAACCTTCAGTTTAGTTGTGCCAATATTTTCCCAATCTTTTACCATACTAATATAAGCCCAAGTTAAATCTAGATTATCAATTATAAATATTAAGGAGACTCATCAAAAAGGAAGCTGTGATGATATCGATGAAGTAATTTATACTATTAGAATTTCTAAAATAAAAATATTAATAATACTTTCGACTTCACTTGTATTCATTCTTGAAGCATCAACATTCATCATGATTTTAGTGACCTATCATATATATCTATTTGAAAAATGTACCTCTTAATAATAAATCTATAATTGTTAAAAAAAGTTCTTCTCCTATCGATTTCCCACTATCTATTGAATTATAAAGTACTATCAAATCATTAGAAAAACTTTCATCTTTCTTCACTAATACATAATTTCCAACAGAAAACTCTATTGTCAATGAACTAATTCTTGTGTTATTACATTACATCTTCGACAGACTTGATTTTAAGATTACAAATTCTGTTTGGTTTATTTAATTATATGAGACAAGATCCCAACTTAATATTGTATCTCATTTTTTTTACTTTAATGAGCCATAGGTAAACCTAACTCAAACACTAAAGGAATGCTATAAATTATTGCTATATAGAAAAAGTGAATTTCATTAAATCTAGTAAACTGTAAGAACCATGATTTTTGAAAGAAATAGCAACATTATATCTAAACTTTACAATATTACTTATCTTGTTTTAATTTTATTAATCTTATTCTTATAAATACAATTGAAATTCTAAATTCTATAAAAATTGACATGGAGCATTGAAAGATTTAGTTCTCTTAGATCAAAACATATTATTATATATTTTATAATAATAATTTATTTTTTATAAATTCTCATCTTATAATTAATTTTCAATAATTGTAAGTTTTCTCATTTTTCTATTCAAATTATAACTTTGAATTAATTGTTAATGATTTCTTAAATTAGTTTTTTTTTAGAATTATTTTATTTTAGATTAATGTTAATCTCTTTTTATTATTAAATTTGAATGATATATTCTATACTCTGTTTATAAATCAATTAAAAAAAATAATTAAGAAATTCTTTAGATTATTTGTAATTTATGTGAATACATATAAAATATAATAATTCATTTAGTTTTAGGTGAGTATCCAGCAGGACTTCTAACTCCTGTTAAATTTGGCTCATAATAACTATTTGATTCTTGTTTATCAAAAGAGATATCTTTAGCTTGATAACTTTCCATTTCAATTGATTCCAATTTTAGTAAAATTTTATCCTTCAACATTGCCATCTTGCTTATTTATGCATCTTATGGTAGCTTCTATATTATAAGTATAAGTTTATTGAGTTTTGTTAATGAGTAATTTTTTATTTGATTTATTTTCTAAAAATAAGTTCAGACAAACTTACATCAGTGATATCCTGAGTTTCTTTATACAATTTTCGATTACGATCCATTTAGAATCTGATTTCATTTAATATTCTCTACTGATCTGTTTGTATTTAGATTAGCTACTTTCTCATTTTATCATGTTCATTTAAATAAGATTCTGATTAGAATTCTTTTGTTAGAGTCTCCAAACTCTATTTTATGTCTTCTTAATTACGACGTTTAATTTTAAGTAAGTTATTTCTATGATAAATGAATTCATTTATACTTAACTCCTTTTCTGAAAAATGAATGTTGAAATTCATTCTTCCCTTAATTATTTTTCAATTTTTTAAACCCATACATATTGAGTTGTCTAGAATATTTATATCTCAATACTTACCTTAAGAAACTTTAGAAATTACGATGCTTAAAGTATTAAGGCAGAATCTAATCTGTCAATGACGCAGGATCTTGGATCTAAAATGTCGTTCCCTCCTTATTCCAACATATTGCTGTTTATTCAGACTCAAAAATAGAGTTTTATAAAATTACTTCTAAAATATCATACAATTTCATTAGAAAGGATGGAACTTATTTTATGTCTTCCATGATTTAATAATTTTTTTAGAATTATTATCATTCCAATATTCAAGTTTAGTTTACATCAATCACATAATTAAAAATCAAGAATCTTTTATAGATTTTATCAAAACTATTTATCTAATTATTCAAATTTAAAGGCCATACAAGATTAGATTATATTAATAACTTGAATATATTTCTATTAATGAATTTAATCATTAAATCAAAATTCAATTTATTTATTAATTAATATTAAATTTATTCAGTTTTCTTTTTTTTCTTATATTTGAAATGCTTTAACTTTGTTATCAATTGACAAATTATTTTATTATTTTCTCAATATAGAATATATAATTTATATAAAATAATTTCAAAATTAAAAATTCTAAATGATACT